AAATTGGTAAAATCACAAGAACACTGTTACCTTGAGCCTGAGATGCCAATTCAGATCCAACCCTGAATTTGGTGGATTTGGATTAAGTGACACAGAGTCAATAGAACCACTGAATTTCAGAAATCAGAAAGTTGCACTATACCAAACTAAAGAACGCATGTGAATCAAGCATAGATAGAAAACATTAAGCCAAGAGAACAACACAGTTTACATAATTTTGTTTGCCCCTACAAAACACTTAAGCAGTTAATTTTGTTTTGTTATGTTTTATTTTTGAAGAGCAATTGTGGCCTTTTACACTTTCTTATTTGGAGGGCAAATTTTTATCAGCATGAGTGCTGCGAAATGATTGTGGTTCGTCATCCCCAAAGTTAAAGTCAGATCATGAGAAAATGGGACAGTCCTCCCAGATTTAGTTCATGATAATGCTTAGAATTCTTTTGCACAAGCTCAGTCTAAATGATGGGGCTTTAGTATGGATGATAAAGTTTAATGGCAGAGAGAATAGTGAACTTTGCCCATTTATTTGGTAAACGTCACTGACAAATTTGAACTTTTGGGTGAAGGACTGCTAGAAGAATTCAACAGCACCTGGAGTAAGGTTCTGTTACAGAGCCCTTGTGTTTTGCCCCCACTGGCTACGTCGATTCATTGTGGCTCATGGATTTGCCTCCGTTCAGCACTCCGGAGACGCTTCTGCTCTTGGTTGGGGTCCCGCTTCCAGATCGGGAGAACTCCGTGAGATCGTGCAGCGACGGCTCCTTGTACATGGCCACTGAAAAGCACAGAAAGAGGGTGTCAGGGGCCTCGGAATGGGTACAGCACACTGGCCCTCACCTTTTCTTCTGGTTACTAGGCCTCTGTGCTTTAGGTCAAAGATGAAAAATGCTGCTTCCAAGGATTCAGTAGGAATTGAACTGGATCAGGTTAAGCAAAATCTACCCTTGGCGAAGTAGTGTATAAAGATTTCTGATGCCTAATTTCCATCACTTATGGTTATGTATATGAGAGAATTGATGAAAAATGCATTTAATAAAGCTCTTATAAGTTTAAATATGATCTAGAGCATGCTGTGCAAGCCAAATATGAAAAGCTTTTAAAAAATACCAATTTCTATCATGATTTAAAAGGAAACTCCCAGAGTTTAAATATTAGCACAATTCTTAATGCAATAAATGGTAACTATGATTATTATGCTCCAAATAACAGTACTAGCTTATGTTTATGGAACACTTACAATGTGCTAGATACTGTTCTGAGCCCTTCGCATTCATTATCTCTTTTAATCCGTGTAAGAATCCTCTGACATACCTACTCTTATCCATATTTTACAGACCAGGAGCTTGAGGAACATACATGGCAATAATCTTCCCAAGATCATCTGGTTAGTAAAGGGTAAAGCTGGGACTGGAATCCAAATAGTTTGGCTCCAGAAAAATGTGCGTGAAGCAGTGTTACGCTGACTGGGCAGGCTGCCCTAATTGAAACCCACTAAGCCTAGGCTAGCGGCCTCTTGGAGGTCTTGCTCTGCTTTGCCTGCATTTTATATTCCTTCCCCACCATGTCTCACTACTTTTAACATCGCTGCCCATTCCTATTGTTCCCCCTTCCTAATTTGCTACTAATATGCTAATAATGACTGGAAAGTAAAACTATGAATGAAAATTGTTGGGACAATATTGTTGGGCCCTTTCAGAGTATCCAAGGAGTTTTCGAATACATGTTAAGTGTACATACATTTAAGCATCTGTTTTTCTGCCCAGGGACCATTCTGGCATAATTTGGGGTTCTTGGCTGTCCTGAGTTAACAATTAAACTACTACCATAAAAGTAAGGTGTTACTATATGTAGATATATTATGGAAAAATTAAAATCAGGAGATTAGATGCTATTGTTGCTGTTTAATATTTTTAAATATTTAAAATGTTACTAAATTTTTGTATAAATGCCTAAATGTAGAAGAATTATGTTCCATTTTCAAAAGCGTGATAAAGGAGTAACTTAAATGCATACTCATTTAATCCACAGCTCATATAACATCAAGCTTACCTTTCATTGGTTTGGGCAGAAAGTGGGCCGCAGGCTTGTTCTTCTTCACATGGTTTCCTTTCATGATCTCTCCTTCTTTGTTCAGACCCAGATACCACCCTCGGCCTGACTGCTGTTGACGGTATATCATCGATGAATATGTCACATAATAATTTTCAAACACGGATTCTTTGAATTTGCACTCAAGTGTGAAATGTTCCTACAAGAAAAGTAAATAAACTAAAGCTCAATATTTATAGCTATGGATTTCATGGAGAACCATGTGGTATTGCCCTTTGGAAGTTAAGGACATACTTTGTTAAAGCTTGTATGACCAGTGCTCTCTTTTAACAGCATAAACTATTGTCATTAGAAAACAAGGCTATATATAGCATTTTGTGTGATGCTTTAGAAAAGCACTAAGTGCAAATGCTATTGATTAATGATTAGCTCTCTTTTTAGTAAGATAATGGAAAAATCGGAACCAGCCACAAAAGTGTAATATATCAGACAAATACAAGAGCCAAAGAATGAAAGACAAGCATAAAGCTGTCACATGGATCTTTGTTTCCTTAGGGATTAAGTATGAGAAAATAAACATTCAGTCCTTGGACTTAATTTTCATAGATTCTCCAGTTACTATAAACTATAATTTTCAATTGCCCAAGACTGAAATCTGTGTTACAATGCTGGCTGACTATATTTCTAAAGGGATGCTACAAAGAAAGATTCCCTTTTACTTTTAGGTAAACCAAATTGATTTTTCTTTTAGATCATTGGACCACGACTTAAAAAAATTTCCTCCTCACCATCATCCTTGCTTTACAGTAAAGTTTACAAGCAAATCAATATAGAAGCAAGGAATTTACAGTAATTCTATAAGCAGACATGAGAGAACAGCCCAGGGGACTCCCAACCCTAGAATGTGATATTCTGCCACATGCTTGACCATGTTTTCTTTCGACTCGCCCATACAAACGAAGCGTTCCTGACCCAGCTGTTTCATAAAGAAGAAACCTTGTAAGATTTGTGTATGTGTGTGCATGGAATAAACAGCTATTAAAATGGCCATTTGTGCCCTGTCAGCGTGGCTCAGCCGTTGAGCAATAACCTAGGATCCAGGAGATCGCGGTTCGATTCCCGGTCAGGGCACAGGCCCGGGTTGCGGGCTCGATCCCCAGTCGGGGGCGTGCAGGAGGCAGCCGATCAGTGACTCTCTCATTATTGATGTTTCTCTCTCTCCTTCTCCCTTCCTCTCTCTGAAATCAATAAAGATATATTTTTTAAAATGGTCATTTGTAAGCAAAATGAAATGAACAACAAATTTTAATCCCTAAGGAATCCACAGAGTAGCAGAGGGTCCACTTGGAGTGCAAGATAATGAAGAAAATGCTAAGTGAGCTACATATGACAGGGGCACTGAGTAAGCCATTAGATTTTTCTCATTTGCTGAGATGTTATCAGGAATAACTTTTTATAAAACCCTAAAATAAGCTACCTTGTAAAAATACTGCAAGCTTTCTGGACACGAGTCTTTTCTTAACAATGCCTCCATGGTCCTACCTTCCTTCACTCTCATAAGAGATATCATTCTAAGCGAAGAGGAGCAGATTCCTCAAATTGGGGCTGCTTTTCTCTGAAGGTTAAATAATTGAACTTTTTTTTCTTTTCTTTTCTCTGGGAATCCACAAAATCTGTCTCACTCAGTAATCTCACTGGTTCCCATCTGGTCCGCAGAGTCCACAGACTGGAATCATATTTTGGGTTTATTTCTGCCTGCGGCAGCCTTGATAGATCAGAAGATTCACCCAAATTCAACCTTACCCAAGAAAAACGTTACATCCAAGGAAACTATCATGTGGTAGGAACCAAGGTGTTCTACTGGTGGACTGTGAAAACTCCTCTTTGTAGGATTCTCAACATGGGAAAGTCAAGGAATGCCTACAAAGAAATTTGACTCAAAGTCTCCACAGCCCCTCCAGTGATGAAGAAAATTTCACAGAACGTTGCTAAAACTCATTGGGGATTAAATCACCATCTGGGGGGAAAATCTCATCATTGGAGAGTGGATTTTAGTTTTGTAAGGAGTCAGAAACCATTTGAAATTAAATATAGTGAGTAACACATGATTTAGGCTAGTGATTCTGTGTAGCCATATCAAGATACTATATGACAGACTACAAAATGTTGAGGTGAGACCACTGTTCTAAGGCAGGTCCCCAAAAGGGCTGCATTTAATGTCTTGTGTGATCACAGCATTCATTCACTCGTTCGTTCGTTCATTCATTTATACACATTTTCTGACAATCCATTATACGCTTGGGTGGTACTAAAAATTCAGAGGTAAATAGGATGTGGCCTCAGAAATCTTACCATATATTTTCAGGAGAAAATATACCCAAATAACCTGGACACAGGGTTTGCTGCCATTAAGTACAGAAAAAGATGCATAAAGGATGTGTTGTATGAGAATAGAGGAAGCCTGACTTAATTCTTATTGGGGGACTGGGGAGTGGTGTACTTTACAGAGATGGTATTACTGTAGCTGAGCCTTGAAGGATGGGTAGGAATTCAAAACAGAAAAAGGAGAAGAAGAATGTTTGAAGCACAGAGCCACAGTTCCTCTAAACTCCACTCTGTGTCTCCTATCTCAGTAATTAGTCCACTATGCTGGCAACTGCTAAAAGTTAAAACTTCAGGGGCCCTTAATGTTCTTCCATGTGCTCCCCAGTATGTGGTCTTGACCTTCCATTCCCATGGAACTGCTCTAGTTTGCGCCCATATTACCTCTTCACTGGCCTGCTGTATTGACCTCCTAACTGGTCTCTCCCTTTCTGCTAAAAGATTCAATTCCTGAGGAACTTTTGATGGTATCTTCATGCCTCTAGTAAAAGAGACAACTTGATGTTGCATTTAAAATTCTCCACAGTTCAGTCACAACCATGCCTTCAGTCTTAGTCTTACCCTCTACCATAGAATCGTGTATGTCTTTGTGCCTTTACAGATGCCATGTGTTTGCTTTGTTTAGAATGTCATTCTTCTCTCTCTACCTACCAGCTTTCCCTTCATCCCTCAAGGTCTTGCTCAAATGTGACTGCCTCTGGAATCACATTTGATCTCTCTCATTCAGGGTACTTGCATTTCTGCTCCCACAAACTCTAGCTAGATCTCCAGCTTGGCCCTGTGACTCAGGCAAATGCTTGACTGGCTCCAAATGGCAGGGGACTTGTCCTATTTCTGAATCCACCTTCCATCTTCATAAATTCCTGGTGATATTGCCTAGCACACAGCACACCATCTGATTATTATTTATGGGATTTGAATTTCAGGGATTCATATTTAAGTATTGCAAATTCCAGGATTCCAAAGTATCAACTAGTAAAAAGTCTGTAGGGAATTTCCCTAATACCATCTAATGAAATCAGTTGTATGTAGAAGGGAGCTGTCATGGCACAGACAGATCCTGTGTGTGTGACTTAGTATGTGTTACAAATAACAGATACTACACAGATACTGGCATCTACAACATTGGAGGGGGGGGGAACTTGGTAATTGTTACAACTATTGGAAAATGGCAAGGAAGGATTCAATGAACTGAGTGCTCTGTCACATAATGGCAATTTCTTAGTCATCACCACTAAATTTAGGCTAAAAAACTCAGTAGAAATGGAGGAAAATGAGGCCGAAAAAGGACTGTAGAAGCAACCAAAGGAGTGCTCTGTTCTCTGTGTGTGACACTGTCATTTTATCCAGTGTTGGAATGAGTAGGCAGAAGAGGCTTGATTTCTATGAAATGTGGAAAAATGAATATCCCACTCATCATAGGAAAGGTCCCCAAAGAAGAAGGGGTGCAGTTGTATTTGTCTATGTCTCAGCAGTGATTCATATAAATAACAGAAATTAGATTTGATCTTAATCAGCAAAGCCTTATTCAGAGGACACCAGGTAGACATATGGCAAGGAATCAACCTCCTTTGATCGATCTGGAGATGATTATTAGTGCTCTTGGCACATAGTACTAATTAGAGGTAGCAATCACTTTGCTCTGTATTTACTATGCATTAAATATCTGCTATCGTAATAAATGAGTGAATGAATTAAAAAGATGCCAAGCATTCCTTGAAGAGCCACTAAAAAATTACTTGGCATGAGTACAAAAGAAAAGGTGCTTTATATTTTAAAACTTTTTGTGCCTTGATTTCTCTTAAAAGTTGTTTTATCTTTTGCATATCTACTTTTTTTCAGAGAAATAATATCTTTTTAGCTCATAAAATAATCAGTCTGTCTCTCCTCTGTATCATCATTTTTATTCCCCTTAAAGTTCAAGGTTAGTTCTTTCTTAGTGAATACTGAACCTTGTGTGTGTGTGTGTGTGTTCAAAGTTTTATTTTTTCTGGGGTATTTATTAACTAAATAATTACTACTTTTTAAAGTAAATTTATTAGTGTGACATTGGTTAATAAAATTATATAGGTGTACAATTCTATAATGCATCATCTGTATACTGTATTGTGTGATCACCATCCCAAGTCAAGTCTCCTCCCATCACCATTTACCTCCCCTTACCCTCTTCTACCTCCCCACCCCCCTTTCCCTCTGGGAATCATTGTATTGCTGTCTGTGTCCATAAGGTTTTTTCACCCAACCTCACACCCTCCACCCCGGAAAGCTGTCAGTCTGTTCTCTATCTGTGTATCTGTTTCTATTTTGGTTGTCAGTTTACTTTGTTCATTAGATTCCACATATAAGTGAAATCACATGGTATTTATCTTTCTCTGACAGGCTTATTTCACTTAGCATAATACTCTCCAGGTCGTGAATATTGAACCTTTTTTTCTAAGGACTCCATGCCAGCTAGTTACAATGATCATATTTTAGGTAAGGAATCAATAATACATATTTCCAGAATGAGCTTATCCAGGAGCAAAATCTAACACTTCTTTTTACCAATTTATTCACTATTAGGGGGAAATAGTTATTTGGAGGATGAAATATCACCAGTGAGAAGAAAACATCTGAAACCCTCAATATTAGTCAATAGGACATATTGGAGGATACTTACAGTCACAAATTGTAATCGTCAGCTGCACTTTTCAGGACATCTTAGACCTCCACACAGACTTTGAGAACCAAGTGAAGAAAGTGTCAACACAATCAGTAATGTTATTTGCAAATAACCACCAGATCCAATGGTGTGCCGGAGAACACCTCTGTCCCAGA